CGGTGGAACTCAGCGCGTTGAAATTCGATACGATGGAACTCTACGCGTTGAAATCCTATACGGTGGAACTCAATGCGCTGAAATCCTATACGGTGGAACTCAACGCGTTGAAATTCGATACGATGGAACTCTACGCGTTGAAATTCGATACGATGGAACTCTACGCGCTGGAATCCTATATGCTGGAACTCAACGCGTTGAAATTTTATACTATGGAACATTGCACATTAAAATCCAACGCGCCGAAACTCTACGCACCGAATCTTTGCATATTAAACATTCATTAAAATTTCACCCATCAGAACTCTTCGCACCGAGGTGACGGACATAATTCCATGCAGCGAATTTCCATGTGTTACAATTCGACGCATCGAATTGTCATGCATTGTAACTCTCTGCATTCTCCACGTGTAACTTCACGCATTATGCCTGCAGGTGTTATGTCGTCACGTGTTGCATCCCATGCATTGTATATCCGAACGTTAGAGAAGCATCCAGAACCTACCGAATCCATACCCACCTGTGAATAATGAGACCCCTACTCCGTTTTCTCCAGAGAAGCCTCGCACGCTGTAGACAGAAACAGGGAGGAGAATGTTGGGAATTCGTTTATTAAAGTGAAGCTTAATTCAATCTCTGGTTATAGCTGAGTCAGAGCCGGTATCCGTTAAATCGTTTGCAACGAAGTGACTGCCGCAATTTCCGCTTTACATCGATTTCAATATCCAACGTCACTGTTTCACGGTGTAAAAGTAAGATATCAGCTTCTATGCGGTTTTGAATAAACAGTACTGCCGAGTCAACAATATTGCTACTTGCGTGATCAATCTTAAATGGCGTAGGAATAGTGTACATTGAATTTTGTATGTATTGAAGAATGCATGGAAGAATGTATGTATGCAGAATGTATTTTGCAACTTCATTTATTCACTGATATGGTTTCCGCGAATGGAAACCGATTTTTCCCCCCGGAAGCTTGTGTCTGTTGATGAAACAAAAATTGGGACACAGATCTGCCTCGGTCCGCTTTGAGATACCGACGATTTATTCGACCCAGTAAC